AGAAATGAAAATGAGACTCTACTGCTGTAATGAATAAAATGAGTACCTAAATAATAAACGTCAACAAAACTATATTCATTGATAATCTACAATAATGTAACAACATCAAATTATTACCAAATCTGATCCTTGAAAAATATAATGAAGTAGATATGCATCGGGCAAGAGGACAAATAACACTCACCTACTTGAGAATCAGTATTAAGGCCTGTTCCATAGCAAGAAGCATCTTGAGTTTTACTGACTGCAAAAACAGTGAATCCATAACCACATGTTAAATCTGTGACCTATAAAGATAAAAAAATAAATATCGGTGAAATATTATACAGGATTGCTCTATCCCTGATTCAAGTCTGAAGCAGGAGAAAGAGGATAATGAGAATGATGATGTACAAGAGAGGAGGAATAGTGGGATAGTAAGTAAGTGGATAGTAAGAGGAGAGGAGAGTGGAGATGAGGTGAAGAGGAGGCGGAGGAGGAGAATAAAATAGCAAACACTTATCTATTGTACATTGCATCCAAATACACAGAACTAGAGAGAGAAGAGAAGAGAAGAGAAGAGAAGAGAGAAGAGAAAAGAGAAAACAAAAGAAGAGAAGAGAAGAGAAAACAAGAGAAAAGAAAAGAAAAGAAAAAAAAGAAAAGAGAGAAAAAAAAGAAGAAAATATGTGAAGTGAAGAGGGACTGAGATGAAATGAGATGAGAGGAGAGGAGAGGAAAGAAAAAGAAGAGAGAGAAGGGGCAAGGAGAGATTTGTTTGATAAATTTATTACGTCCAGTGGATGACAGACAATGTACAAAAGGTGCATGATTGTGTCTTGTAGGGCACATTGTCAACTATATATACACACATATTTATTTGAATATGCATACTTACAATCTTACTCGCATTTTCTCACACACATACACACATATGCACATGCACACGCATACACAAGCATGCACAAAAATAAATGGCTAATATCCACCAAGATGTGGATGACACACACGTACAGTCTCAAGGAGAGGAGAGGAGAGAAATTAAAATAAAATGAAGTAAAACAAGAAGAAACGAGATGATGAGAAGAGAAAAAAGAAAAGAAAAAAAAGGAGAGGTAGAGGTCAAGTGCGAACAGGAAATGGAGAGGAAAAAGGGTGAAAATAAGATATCCCTTTATAACAGATATTCATACCTTGTGATACTCTCCAAATCCAAGTCTATGTGGATGTTGCATAAACTGAAGGCGATGCTGGTGTCTGTGCTTGTCTGGACGAATAAAGGACGGCCTTCCCAGTGCTCCATGGTTTGCCACTCCCCATGTGTACACTAGCTTATCAGGCTGGCTCCTTGTACCAACATATTCAACTTCTGCAAAATAATTCTCATTAAATACCCTTACAATATTGCAAGCCTTGGAGTAAAATCTGTATTGCTTAAGAGAATACTTTCTTAGAAAAATACTTCTTTAAATAGTACCAGCATGCTCTACCTTAGGGAAATTTTCAAAAATGTATTGACCACTTTCCAATGTTTGTCAATTAAATCCCAAGAAAGCAGAAAACAACTCTTTGATACAATGAATTACAACCTGGAAGTTCATCTGCATGATGGGGATCCAGAGGCTTGGAAATCTTCCTCTTCTTCCCTCGGGCATGATACCCAAGGGAACCAACAGCACCATTATGAAGCAGACCTGAAAGATTAATGATTGGTTGGTAGTTGGTAAAAGCCTGTGTTCTTAAAATGTGTTGCACAGATGCAATGTGTTCAGTTGTCTGGGGCTTATTTATGACTATTTTTCATACATTATACAAGCATAGACATTGAATTATATTCTAATATTCTTTGTGCTGTATTTTCAGTAACTGCAAACTTAGCCTCTAGCACTCCTGATATTATTTCACAAAAATTATAATAGTTACTTTCTTTTCATCTACCTAATGCTAATGAATGTCTCTTACCAATATTCAATGGCTCACCTTTATTCAAGGAAGAAGTAATAAAATGCCTCCAAGTCTGTGATAACATTTTTGGTAAAAACTGATCTGAAATGGCATAATTTTTATTACCAATACTTTATATTATAATCAACCACTACTACAAGAACATTTAACAAATAATCTAAAATCTTTATTAATTTATAGACTATGGCATTTTATTATTGGAAGAGATATATTTTTGTTTTGTTCAATATCCAAGTAAAAAACAAGAAGAAACCAGTAATCTATATTCACAATTGTAAAATAGAAGAGAGAAAATAAAGAAAGAAATTAAGAAAAAAATAAATAAATTGATTGTGTAAATTTAGCCCAAAGTGAAATAAAAGCCAGAATAATGTAACTGTAACTGCTTATAGAGTTATTGGTGATGATACTTCTATGAACTTGCATTTAATTCATTAACTGCATAATCCATTGGTTATTATTACAGTATTCTATGCTGGCCCAAGTCTCCTTTGTATACTTCACACCCTGACAGATATCTGGGTCCATTTCACTGGGGTACCTCCAAATGGGGTAATGACTTATGCAGGGGTAGCATAAAGTGTATACACACACACACATACACACACACACACACACACACACACACACACACACACACACACACACACACACACACACACACACACACACACACACACACACACACACAAACACAAGCACAAGCACAAGCACAAGCACAAGCACACGCACACGCACACGCACACGCACACGCACACGCACACGCACACACATACAGTTATATAAATATATATATATGAATGCATGCACCATCCAAGGGGTTACACTGAGGTTCCTTGCAAATCAGCAGTGTCAGTTAATGGCACTGCCACAACAGAGACATGTTTTCAAAAGCCACAGATTCCTGGTATGGTATATTCCAGGCATGTCCCTATAATATAGGGAACTGTAACTGTTTTCCACAGATTACAACTGTTGTATCTGGACTGACACAGTTCACCTTTAACAGGTTCAACAGTATCAGCAATCCACATCATTTATATACAATATCTTACCCAGTTTTATTGTCCCTTCTATGTTTTTACATTGATTTTGACTCAAAATATTTCTGGTGTACATCATGGCCTTCCCATATCATGTCTATATAATCATTATATGCCTTAGCTAAGGAATTTAGTTAAGATGTGCAAGATATCAATGGCCCAATATCACTATGGTAAAGTATTGTGGCAAAATGGGTAGAAATGAGTTGATTATTGGGATAAAACGTGTTAGATGACAAAGTTGTAGAGTGCTGTAAGATAGAATGGTAGTAAAAAGGGTATAGAGGGGGAAGCAAATGGAGTATGGCAGGGATTTTTGTAAAAGGGGAAGGTGGTTATACAGCAATTAGATCAAATGGAGAGGATGTGTCTAATGAAGGGATAGTAACACTATATGAAGAAAATTTCAAAAGAGCCATTATGAAATAATCAATGGGTAATATAAGTCGAAATGGTAGTTGGAGATGTGGGAGAATCCAAAGAATGATTTAAGGGAATAGGGAAAGATGGTGAAGTATCAGGAAGAATGTCAGGAGGGGAGGGATCAGGAGAAAGACACTGTTGTGATATAAGGTAGTCACAAGAGCATCCTGGTGGGAGTACTAAGGATAATGGGGAAGGAATGGTGATGCATATAGAGAAGAGGATGGGGTGGTTTTTTGAGAGAGTGGGAGGAGGAGGGGTAGAGGGAACTTGAGGAGGAGGATGGATATTAGCAATTACTTTAAAGTAGAGCGAATAGAAATAGAGGGCTATTTAATGGTCTAAAATCTTCATGAATGGCCATGGTAAGCCTAGAGTATGTTGGGGAGAAAAACGGTCATGTTGAATATTACATTTGATATCACAGACTACAGACTACTTTATTGTATTCACCTATGAGAAGTCTTCTATATTCACCTGATTATCTTTTTCTGTTTTAATATTTACTATGTCTTTTTGTTTTTTGTATGTATTTTGGTCTTTAGACTTTGTTGGGTCTCTTTGTCCTACTGTTACAGTTTGAGATTGGGTCAGTGTTGGGAATATAATTGTGCTGTGGTGTGCTCTATTGTTTGTATTTTTTTTTTACTGTTGTTGTATGTTTGTGTGACTTGTGTTTAGGCTGGTTGTGTAATGGTTTCAAGAGTTGAAGTCTCTTCTTTTTGAAGAGATTATAGCTCTTAATTATTATTTTTTTAATAATTTTCAGATCACTGGGAGTTATGTTTTTTCTATTTATATTTTGGGCCTCTCTACATATTTTGCATTGATAATAAAAACAGTATTCTTTATTTGCATAATCTTTGTAATTATGATTGAAATGACTGCATTTACTACATATTTTCTTATTTTTGCAAGTCAGACCCCTGAAACATTTGAGAGTGAGGAAAGTATATAGATAAATTGGGAAAGATGTGTGTCCTCTTGCTATTTTTTTCTGGTAATTTACCTCTAAAATTTATTCTTAGGGCCTTTGTTGGAACCCATTTAATTTCATTGTCTTTTTCTCTGCTGTTTTTTTTCATTCTTAGCATTTCCACTAATTATGTGTTACTTCCACTTTTTATTCTTACTTCTTCTTTGATCTCTTCTGGGGTTAAGGGGAATGCCCCAGCTTTTTGTATGTTATAGTGTATACAATTGCACTTTGTCTCATATATAATTTTAATCACACATCCCATAGGGATGTTTTTTTTTTAGCCATCTGTCCAAAGGTTATATTTTTTCCTGAATTACCTTAAAAATATTCTTTGGTTAGCTCAACTCTATGCAATGGGTATATTGGATCCTGATTTTTTAAATTTCTATCAATTTTTTTTGGAGGGGCAGTCTATCACTGTTTACTATTTTTGGGTCATTTTTTTTTAGTTTTAACCCCTACCTGACAGGTCACACCGTGAGGCATCAAAACAAACTGCTCGATCTGTGGTGTGCAGCTGTACGCTGCAGCGGTGCGTCAAAGCACTACAAGCTGGTGATTTGGCTTGATGTACTGAACTCCCGCACGCTCAAAGTCGGCGTGTTGCCATT